GCGCAGGCGCGGGCCGGGCCGGAGGTCACGTGTTCGACCTCCCCCCCACCCCCCAGCGCGCTCACACGTGCGGGTGGCGCCGCAGGTGGGTCGTCGGTGCCGGGACTACTTAGAGCCTCGTCTTTGCGTCCCGAGGCGTCTGCGGAGGGTGGTGTGCGCCAGGGGCCCTCCCCATCACCCTGGCTTCCCATCCCCATCACCCCTGGCTTCACCATCCTCCTCCCAGTGCGCGCCAGGGGACCCTTGGCACCTCTGTCCGGGATCACGTCGCAGTCACGGTTTCCCCCTGCCCATCCCACTCTCCTCTGCACGCAAAAGTGTGGTGTTCCTCTCCCGTGTCTAGCTTCGAAATCAGAGAATTCCTCCCCCTGTGCCTGGGGACTCTAGGGACACACTGGCAGTGGTCACCTCGCGGACACAAGGTGTTTTCTTTCGCGCGCCTCACTCTAACTCGCAAAGGTCCTTCTTCCGTCTCTGGCTTGCCCAAGCTTGTCTCTGCCCTCCAGAACCCAGAGACTTCTCTCGTTTCGGGTCCCATAGCACTTCCCGTCCCCCATATCACCCCTAAAGTCATGACACCTTTCTCTGCGCCACAGGGTGGCCGTCCCCTTCCCGTGCCTGCCAGGCTCTTCTCCCAGCTGGTCTTCCCTGAGCCGGGGCCTCTACTCCAAGTACATCTAATGAACTGGGGACCCTTGAGATGACCCTGTATTCTGGTATCCTGTTAGCGCAGGCCCCTGGTCGGACACCTCTTGATATGGTGCCTGGGCAGCCCCTCAGGTTCCTTTCCCAAGTCAAGTCTCCTGTCCTAACAGCTCATCATCCTTGGGGACGGAGGTGGAGGGGACTGTATACCCCTAGACTTATACATCATCCCCTGAATGGGGGGTGGGTGCTTCTGGGGTGAGTAGCTTCCCACTAGCCACTGCCCACAGTCTTTGAGACCCACTCTTACCCGAAGTGCTTGGACTCTGCAGGATGGGAACCCTGTCCCCAGCTGGTGCACACACCTCGGCGATCCTGTGTGATTTCTCATGATGAACGGAAGGGGAACAGGATGGACCTTGCTTGGGTCTCTACCTATGGCTGATTGCAACTCAGGCCAGTTGTGTGGTGTCTCTGGGCATAGGCTGTCCCTGCTGCTCCTCAGCTCCCTTAGCCACAACAGGGCCTCCTCTCTCTCTCTCTCTCTCTCTCTCTCTCTCTCTCTCTCTCTCTCTC